AAGCTAGTGCGGGGCCTGTAGCACATGTTATAAATGGGCCCTAAATAATAATAAAAAACACTTCAATATTAACACACACAAATGTTTTACTTGCACAGTAAAGTAATTGTATTTTTTTTCATTTCCTATACAGCCAGAGAAGACGACAAATCGCTAACCTTAAACACACAGTCGTTCATACAAATTTAAGGCGGTATAGTACTATAGTAATAGAGCAAGTGCAGAATCACTGAACCGGAATTGATAGCTTGAAAGCATTTAGCGCGGGGCCCTTGAAAGTGCGGGGCCCCCGTAGCTACGACACATGTGTAGTAACTACACATGTGTAGTAGCAGCTACACATGTGGTAGTGTAGTGCAGCTACTACACGTGCAGCTACTACACGTGCAGTAGCTACTACTAGCTGCACGTGTAGTAGCTACTGTAGTAGCTAATACACGTGTAGTAGCTACTACTAGCCTGCCTGACTAGTTAGCAGAGTAATGTAAAGCGCCCGTACATCATTGCTGCTGTACAAAGACAAAGATGCCCCGTATAGCCTTGACACACTGTTGGGGCACGTCGTGTTAGCGAGCACCTATGAAGGCCGGCACCGCACACGAGGGGGTGGGTGGCCAGCAACCACGCCCGACCGCTTTTGTCTCCCCAGTGGCGATGTCTACACATCGCACCAGGTACTCATTTGAGGCCGAGTTGGCCGTGAGCGGGAATTGACCTTGGGTCGCCAGGTTCGTAGCGCAGCGTAGCGCTCACCGCTCTACTACCGCTCCCCGTATTTCTGCTGTACGCACACACACACACCATACGCACCACAACACACAGCACACACAGCACAACACACCACACACACCACACACACCACACACACTACACACATAACACCCCACACACACACCACACACACCACACACATAACACACCACACGCACCACAACACACAGCACACACACCACACGCACCACAACACACAGCACACACAGCACAACACCCCACACACACCACACATAACACAACATACAGCACACACAGCACAACACACCACACACCCCACACGCACCACACAATACACACAGCACAACACACATCACACACCACAACACACGGCACACACAGCACAACACACCACACACACCACACACACCACACAATACACACAGCACAACACACACCACACACACCACACACACCACACGCACCACAACACACAGCACACATAACACAACACACCACACACACCACACACACTACACACATAACACCCCACACACACACACCACACACATAACACACCACACGCACCACAACACACAGCACACACAGCATAACACACCACACACACCACACACACATAACACAACACACCACACACACCACACACACTACACACATAACACCCCACACACACACCACACACATAACACACCACACGCACCACAACACACAGCACACACAGCATAACACACCACACACACCACACACACATAACACAACACACCACACACACACCACAAACACACCATAGCCACCACTCAAACCACACCACACCACAACACACAGCACACACAGCACAACACGCCACACAACACACAGCACACCACACACACACCACACACACACCCCACAAACACACCATACACACCACTCAAATCACACCACACCACAACACACCACACACAGCACAACACACCACACACAGCACAACACACCACACACACCACACACATAACACAACACATCACACACTACATACACCACACATTACGTAATGCGAACGCGTGCGCGGGCAGTGTTTTCATTGCACATTCGCCCGTGCTCGCGCGGCCTCGGTCCGAGGGCCCCCCCGCCCCCCCCCCGTGTAATTGCCATCCGGCTTTCTCTTCGCTTCGACCCCGCCCGTGTTTACTCTACGCTAGATTAACTCGCTAAATGAGATTATTAAGCGTGAGCCCCGCGGGCTCAAGCTGGTTGCCAGGGACCCCCCCCCCCTTGTTTTTTTCTGGACAAAGTCGTGTTTATGTGCTCGGTTGCAGGTGTCTCTTGCCTCTCCTCCTCCGTCTCCCCACTCCTGCCCATTCATACGAAATGGTCCGTTCAAAGATAATAGTGACGATGACGAGCAGCAGCAGCAGCAGGCCCTTTCTCAAGACCTCCTCGCTGTCGATCATTGGGGGTTGTTTACCCATACTTCACCATGATGGTTAGTGCCAGTTGTGGGGAGGGGGTGGGGGGAGGTTGTTATATCACTCACCACTAAGTTTGAGTATCGAGCTTATTTTATTTGTAACACGGATGATCCCGTTCAGCCAGTTGCCCGGCTATAATTTTTTTTTTACAATGGAGATCCGCGGTTTCGTGAGCACAGCAGCAGCAACGACTAAACACTGAGAGCTCTCCAATGTGTATCCAGTTCCCGACGAAGCTCCCAGCACGCGGAGTGAAACGTCGGACGTCGTACCGAAGAAATAATCGGTTGCAATCAGAAAACACATCGGTGGGATGCCAACTCTGATGGTTCGAGGGTATTCGTAGTTTGCACGGTGGGTTTTCTTGCGGCACTCCGATTTCCGCCCACGGGCCACTGATTAAAGGCATTGGCCAAAACGTCCCAATCAATGCAGGATCGTCCCGAAAAAAATTAACCCGTTAAAACAAAGTTTTTCACTATAAATCCTTTATATGCGTGGTGGCTAGAGTGCTCTCGTCCTCTGGCTTGAGATGGCTGCCACCTATGGGTCAGATGATTGCCTGCCACCATTAAGCAATTGGTAATTAAATATAATATTTTTTTTCCTAAAAAGTGTAAAGTTATGGAAAAAAATTTCACGAAAATAAATTTTCACGCACAACGAGTCTGTGTGCAAAATGTCAGCTCGATTGGATCACGGGAAGTGGGTTAAAAAACGACCGAAAGATTTGCACGGTCGTAAGCAAGCAAGCAAGCACGCAAGCACGCAAGCAAGCAAGTGAACTTAATATAAATGATTTAATAAGTATAACCCGTAAAAACGAAGTTTTTCACTCTAAATCCTTTATATGCGTGGCGGCTAGAGTCCTCTCGTCCTCTGGCTTGAGATGGCTGCCACCTATGGGTCAGATGATTGTCTGCAGTATTAAACAATTGGTAATTAAATATTTAATTTGTTTTCCCTAAACAGTGTAAAATTTTGGAAAAAAAATTTCACGAACATTAATTGTCTCGCACAACGAGTCTGTGTGCAAAATGTCAGCTCGATTGGATCACGGGAAGTGGGTTAAAAAACGACCGAAAGGTTTGCACGGTCGTAAGCAAGCAAGCAAGCACGCAAGCAAGCAAGCAAGCACGCAAGCAAGCAAGCAAGCGAACTTAATATAAAGGATTTACAAAGCCACGGAATTTACTCAAGATTTTCGGTATGGCGAGCTTCCTCGAGTGCCGTGGTTCTCAACCTTGTTTGGCTTACCGTACCCCCCTTGTCGAATTTAGTTCCAGCCGAGTACCGCCTTGCTTGACCCAACAAGGATTTAAACAATTGTTCATTTTGCGAGGCATTCCTGACTAGCCAGTGACTGCAAGCGAACGAAACAAACTTCTACGAGCGTGATGCAACTTATTCGTGCTCGCTGATTACTCTTGTAAATCACGTTGTTTGCAATCAATAACTTTAGAAAGGTCTTTTACATCGTTCTAGATCACCATACAGATTTAAATGTTATCGTAGTTATTGGCGCATTCATTACATGACTATTCACCAATGACTCATTCATGAAATAATCTCACACGTTTACGAATCACCGCACGTTACCCACCTGTGGGGACATTTGTCCACGTGCCCCCAGGGATGTTCAGCGTAACCTCCAGTTGAGAACCACTGCTCTAGTGGGAGACCCTTTCAGCAGCAGTGGTGTGAGCAAGGACTTCATGCGCTGCACCTTCACCGCTCTTACCCTGGGCAAGCGAAGGGACTTGGTCCAGACACCACTGTCAGCCACAGGACCCCCACGATTGCCCGGTTCAATCGCGTACACTGGCTCAAGGTTTTCGTAACGTCGGGCGGTCGTGATGGTTAAAAACGTTCACATTTACGCTTCGCCAAGTCTGAAGCTGCGTGTTTTGTATACAAACCGTAAGCATCAGTATCTGCTGGATGAACGCCTGCCCAAGCCGTTGGGCATCTCTATCTCTCGATGCACCGATGCGTTTATCTACTGCATGCGCGCTCATTCCATCGCTCCATCTCCACGATGGAACTTCTCTCAGAAAAAAAGGCGCGTATTTCTCCTTTGGCTGCAATTCCGTCGTTAGTCTCGACCACCGGCCATCATCCTTTCCAAGCAATGTCTCCTGTCCAAGCCAACTTACTAAAACAAATATAAACAGTCAATGTGAAGTGTCTGACGTGCGTACACTCTCTGATCCCGCGTGTCCCTCTGTCTCTCTCAGTGGAATTCCCAGCACGCTTATTTGCGCACATTTAAGCGTTGCGTTCCATCTGCCTTATAAATGCGCGTGTTTTTGATCCATCGGCAATGTTAAGCAACGTCAAGCAATGGTTTTCGATACTATACGACAGTCCCGAATGTTATGCTGAGAAGGATTTGTTTTTATTTTAGGAGAGCGATAAATCCCCTGGCTCCCAGTTGCAGAATTGAGATGCTGGGCCGCGTCTAGATGGGTGACCACCATCCACAAAAACAAATCCATCGTTGTGCTGCACTTCTATGCTTCCACGTGGATGCTCCCCCGCCTCCAACCCTCGTTAACCAGGAGGGGGTAAAGTATAATCAGTCAATCGCCCAAGAGCCGTAAGGCGCGGGGGGGGGGCCTCATCCAGCAGCAGATTGACAATTATGGCCGTACGTGTGAATTACTCGAGGCAGGGGAGCATGTCATTTGCTGACGTGTGACCCCGCGGACGGCAGCGAATGCCCTCCCGGCGGAATAATAATTGCACTGCATTTGGCTCCAATGTAATGAACGTTGTTGAGATTCAAAAAGCAAACACTGGGGGGGTGGGAAGGCAGGAGGGAAAGTTACCACTTTAATGCGATCTGTGAATTGGTAAACCGTTTGAGATTCCAAAGCGGTACAAAATGTAACATTTTTAAATACACCACCGTCATCATAGCATAACTCGGTCTCACGCCCTGGCAACGCATCCACAGATTACACTGTTTATAGCGCGGAGTGCCATGAACCTCCGGCCACCTGGGTTCAATTCCCGGTTCACGGATAACATCAGTGGAGAGTAAACTGGGCATGCCCCCCATCCACCCGCCCCTAGCCCACTTAACACCAATCTGCATCGACCAGCGTGGTGAAGTATGGTCAGGTCAACCAACCCTCTCCCCCCGCCCCGCACCCTCCCATGTCTGACACAGCAAGGGGAGGGAGGGCTTCATCCAGCAGTCGATCGACAAAGGGGGGCTAAGCTTATACTGAGAGAGACGATATGCGGGGGGCACTGGACACATGTATATCTCGTGTACATTTATATAGATAATAATACATTTTTTTTACCAACGCTAGCAAACTATTAGCAGACGCGCTAAGTTTTAATTTAATAACTTAAAAACTGAAGGAACAAAAACGTACTACGGTTAAATAATTTATAAAGATGTCAATGTTAATCGCCTAACATTTACCGAGGCGTATATTTTAATTCGTGCTGTACATTTGTGAAAAGGAAACAACAAAAACACATTATTATTTTTCTCATCATTATGAAATAAAATCAAACAAATCAAAACCAATGCGATATAATATTGGTAACGTATACATAACAAGTCATTGCCGTTAAATACAGACGTATTATACTGTTATAAAGTGTTTCTTCTTACTGACCATTACGACATCGGTATTGATCTACTGACCCCCCCCCCCCACTCCATAAGCACTGCAACAACGTTACGATGCACTGCGTTGTGTACCTACGCGTGCACGTACGTCCGCTGAACCTCTCTCGCACCCTTACGTTAGCCAACGTCGCTAATCGGAGGTGCGTGTAAATGCCCGCTCGATTGTGTCCGTTGTGTTCGCTGTGAGATTGTCGTGGCCACGTGACTCGCCCTCTTGCGTGCTGCTAAGTGTCCGAACGAGCCTGAATGCGCCCCGATCTGTGTCAAATATCTGAAGTTCGCTAAGCAGGGCGGCTTAAGCCTGGGTAGTGTTCGCATGGGGTGACCATCACCACGCATGCACGGGTTGCCACAGGGTTTCTGCGGCAGGGGCGGGCGGGCGGGGACTACTTTGTGAGCAGCTGAGGACAATGCAGAAAACAATCCATTGTTGCATTTTACTTCCCGTGCTCCTACATCTACGCTGCCCACCGTCGACCAACCTGCGTGGTGAAGTGATCCCCACGTGCCGGCCCTGCCTCGGAAGGTCCCTCGTGCAGCCGTGGATCGACAAGAGGGTTGTACATGCCAGACAAATACCGTGCAATTGAGTAATTGTGTGTATGTATTGTGGGTTGGCCGCGTTGACCAATGATTATTGCCACTGGCTTAGTTGGAATGATGCCCTATTCCCCAGTATTTGCGAGGAGCAGTGTAGCACAGCGGTTTAGATCGCTGTGCTACAATGAACCCAGTGATCTTAGTTCAATCCCCGGTCACGGCTAACATCAGTGGTGGGTAATATCTAAACCGGTCTTTGCCCCCCCTTGTCGCCAATCTGAACTGACCAGCGTGGTGAAGTATGGTCAAACATGACCATCGTGACCAACATGGCGTGGGGGATGTTTTCACCCAGCAGTGGATTGACAAAGATCGATAACTTCTTCTTTTAAGCATTTACAGGAATTACTTTTGAGATCTGACTTTACAAACACCCCATGTATAAGACCAATACGGCTATATATGCACTACATTGGTGGCTAAACTTATATAGGAACTTTTGTAAAATACTCTTCTCTGCCTTTAGGCTAAAGTCTGCACCGACACACACACTTAGCAGCAGAAGCCAGGAAGGCGACTTGGATTTTTAGCAGTGATTCAGCGGAATAAAATATAGTTTCAGATGGCCTCGTCTGTTTTGACCATAGAATCGACTCTCTGGGGAGTGGTGGTGCAGTGGTTAGCGCACTGCACGAGGAACCCGGCTACCTGGCTTAATTTCCAAACCGCGGTCAACATTTGTGACACGTGATAGCCGAACGGGTCCCGGGCGCTATCTTCACAAACCTGCACTGACCAGCATGGTGAAGTATGGTCCAACAAACCCACGTGACCAGCACAGCATGGGGAGGATGTCTTCATCCGGCAGTGGATGGACAAGGGGCTGTAAATGATAAAGTGTTGTTTTCATACTCTTTGGCTCATTCGGTAAAGTCACGTAGCTATGAAAATAAAACAAAGAATAATAAATCACGACGTTTCGATCGCAACACAAGCGGCCGTCCTCAGGTAGAACATTTTTTAATCCAGCAGTGGTACTGCTAGATTTTTTTGGGCGATCGAAACGTCGTGATATATCATTTTTAAATCCTTTATATTAAGTTCACTTGCGTGCTTGCTTGCTTACGACCGTGCAAATCTTTCGGTCGTTTTTTAACCCACTTCCCGTCATCCAATCGAGCTGACATTTTGCACACAGACTCGTTGTGCGTGACAATTAATTTTCGTGAAAATTTTTTTCCAAAATTTTACACTGTTTAGGGGAAAATAATTACATATTTAATTACCAATTGCTTAATGGTGGTAGACAATCATCTGACCCATAGGTGGCAGCCATCTCAAGCCAGAGAACGAGAGGACTCTAGCCGCCCCGATGACTTTACCGAACGAACCAAAGAGTATGGATTCCTGTAGTTACGAAAGCTTCAAATCAAGATTATTGTTGTTATAATTGTAACCGTCATTGTATAATGTCATGGAAGCCTTGGGATCAATTTTTTTTAGTTCGCATAGCTTATCGCTGAGACGCGCCAAGGGAAAATAATGCGCCTACACTCGTGATGGCATCGACAGAGATCTCTGACTGACGCGGGCAGTGGGCACGTGCGATCTCGTTCATCGATAACGTAATTCTGCGCGCGACGAAGCTTTTGTCACCTGCACTCAATGGGACTCTGCCACGTCAAAATAAGCATTTACTCGTTACAGGATTATGCAATGCCATTAATTATACCCTTGACATTTAAAACAAATATCACGATATGGATAAAAAAATTAAAACGTTGAAATGCGGCACACTCGTCGCACGTTTAAGCCCGAGCTTGGTTACTCGTTCAGAAAGGCATCGTGTTACGTAACGAGTGGAGCCACGTGATGGGCCTGCATCGTTTATATTTGGAGAAAAAATGACTGACCATCTGGGTGTGCGAGAGTGAACCGAGACACACGTGCCGCGCTCACGATCTACACACGGCAGGTGACGCAGTGGCGCTCTGTGCAACGATGGCACGCGGTTCTTTGTGATTTATGAAGTTCCCTCCAAACGTAGTGCTCCGCGAGTCACCGCGTGTTTCATTTCTGTGCCTTATGAGCTGTAAAAAAAACGATACAACTGTTTTTTATTTTATCAGGTAAGGCCCACTGAGCTATTTATATAATTTTTCAGAAGGCATCACAAATGATAGCTCAGCGAAGTGACTTATCACGTGGATGCAGAGAAAACTCCACGCGACCACGGGGGAGAACATGCAAACCCCAAATATACAGCAGGCGTCAGGGTCGAGATCGAACCCACGAGCTCCTGTATACCAGGCGAGGCAGTTAACATCTCGGCACCGTGGCAGACCTGGGGTGAGCTGCACTTAACAGACCAAACATTACCGTTCACCCCTATGCGATAGCAATTCAGGAAATGTAAATTGGGGCCAATATTGGCTGACATCACGTTGCAGTGATGGACCAGCGCGGGTCTAGATTACTTTTCTGTCGAATATATATGTAGCTACATGATGTATTTTAGCTTTGCGATCACTTAACAAAACACTCCGAGACTATAGGCAACAGCATGGCATGGTAGCTGGCCAAATCGGGCCTGTAATGGCTACAGTTTGTTGTGATCCCAGCCTGTCCACTGGGCTAAAGAAAATGAGTGGAGGGCTGGGGTCAATCCCTTGCGCTGTACCGCGCCTGCTGATGGAATTGACAAAGAGCAGCGTTTGCACCTTTGAGTACGATGCGCGTGTCGCAACGGCCAATCCAGGCTCGGGGCGCCGGTGATGGCTAACACTGCTCCCACGAATCAATTCATCATCTGCCCTGGGTGTGTGTTACAGTCTCTGTGAATGCAAAAGGTGGTGGTGGTGGGGAGGGGGGAGGTGTGACGGGTGGGGGTTCTTCTCTCAGTCTCTGTGCTGCAGGAGCGCGCGTGCCCTCCCGTGTTTATCTGCACGCGCACGTCTCCGCCACCATGTTAGGGTAGAGCTTGAGCACCACGTTGTAGTTCTGGTCGAGGAAGAGGAGGCTGAGCGAGGACATGCTTTCGGGCACGCAGCACGGCTCCGGCACGTTCCGCACGATGCCCACGGCGCGGACGATGCTCTGCAGCGTGGCGTGGTTGGACGGGCGTACGGCCTGCGTGTGCGTGCGTGTGTGTGTGCGTGCGTGTGCGTGTGTGCGTGCGTGCAGGCGTACGTGAGGACAGCCACACAAGTTAGCCGTTCGGTGGCGATTCCAAGGGGTCGTTTGTTTACCCAGTTGAGGCCTCAAATTAGTTTTTGTACACCGTTTCAGGAAGGTCCTGCATTGTTTTTGTTTGGCCAATTAACTTGCGGGGGGATGTTTTGCATGCTGGGGTGGCGTGGAGGGAGGGGACGGCCGAAACTGGAATACACACGAGAAAAATCAAACACGCAAACAGATCTTTTTTTTTTTTACGGATAAAACGGAAGCCGATTTTCTTTCCTGCAATGCACTGGCACTTGACTGGTGCCGAACAAACCGCGTGTCCTCGTGCGCGCAACTAAAACGCGTGCGTTGGAATTAACAGAGGAAGCTCATGGGCGCGGAAACATCTGCACGTGGAACTGCGGCTTAACTTCTGCGCTGCAACCTACTGGCACCCAACTAGCCGCGCGCGTCTCTCTCTCTCTCACGCACGCGTGCCCATGATCACGGAGCGGCTCGATCAACCGCGGCCTGCCGTAAAGGCGCTCGGCCTCACCCACGTTCCATCGGGGCCCCGACTGTGGGAGAGCAGCGACGAGCGGGTGCACCGCCCCCCCCCCACACACACACCCCCCCCCCACACACACCCCCCCCCCCACACACACACCCCCACACACACACCCCACCCCCCCCACACACACCCCACACACACACCCCACACACACCCCATACCCCCCCCAACAAGCAAAGTGCCGCGTGAGAGCTAAAGGGAAAAGTTGCCGAGGGGTGGCAGCCGTACACGTGATGGGCATCGTGACCTCAATCTCCGCAGCGATAAACACTGCAGCCAACACCTCCTGTTGGGGCGGAATGGAATATTGTTTTTTTTGTTTTCCAATGGGGGGGGGGGGGGTAAGAGAGGGAGGTAACGAGGAGGGGGGGGTTGAGAAGCTTCTGCCCTCTGTCCGCATGCAAGGAACACCACCGACAGATAATGGCTAATTGATGAACCGGACAACGTCGGCGGCCCACTGCGGACTGCACACGCGGCCACCGAGGATGTCGTCACGTGGCTCGCCGATTACGCATCTCCGACGGACGAAGCGAAGTGATTTGTACTCAATCTGAAGTTTTTCGATGAAGCTCGGGTTGCTCTCCGCGATTGAGGGCAAAATCGAGAATCTTAACCCCGAACCTTTTGAGTCCTTGTTTGACTATAATGTCATTCAACCTCCTCGACCAGATGTCAATCCGATTGCTCTCTCTCGGGGTTGTCTTTTTATTATTAAATGAATAGTTCCAATGTCGCGTTGATTCGTAGTTGCTGTTTGAATTCCGATTGGCAAGATTCGCTTTTTATTCTTTTTCATTATGCGATAGGTCTTGCGTTAAGATCTTTCGAGAGGACGTGAACTGCATTTGCCAAAGCCGAGGTGTAAATGGAATGCCAATCGATAGCAGTCGCGTATTCCCTGTCATCGTATCATTCCATTTCAATCCCTGTGTCAATCATTTGCTGGATGAAGGCCTCCCCACGCCGTTGTTCGTAACGGAGGTTTTGTGACCGGACTTCACCCCGGTGATTAGTGCGGGTTGATGAAGTGAGGGCGAGGTGGTCAGCATCGCTTCGAACATCACTCACCGCCGAAATTCAAATTTCTAATTGCCAGGTTCACAGCGCAGTGCGCTAACCACTGTACCACCGCTCCACCACCTCCTATTGTCAATGTAAGGAGCTATTGTTTTCTCTCGCTGGCAGGCCGGCTTGACTAATCCACGCAATACGACCTGAACAAAAGCGTTCGTTTATTTCCTCGGAGTACGATTGACTGCGTACGGTGCGAAAGAAGTTGAACTCGTGGTGTTATGTTATGGGGCCGTCCATAAATGACGTCACGCACCTGGGGGGGGGGGGGTGGTCAGACATTTGTGACGATGTGTGACGAGGGGGGGAGGTTTGAGAAATATGACGTCACATCAAAATGCGCAACTTTAAATAAATATAGACAACACGTTCTACTTAACTAAATAGACTTTTTAATAAATGTTTTCTCCTACAACATCAGAGTGCAGCGCCACATTAAACACGCACTACGATGACAATAGTTTAAAGCGATTTGAAGCATGTTTTATGGTTTGGGGGGGGAGAGCTTTGTGACGCCATATTTGAGGGGGGGTCTGACTTTTTGTGACGCCGTGTGACGAGGGGGTTAAGAAATCGTCCAAAATCGCGTGACGTCATTTATGGACAGCCCCTATCACGTCTCGTGGAACGTTATGGACGGATCCTAACATTGGCGCTCACTTTCAGAGAGCGCGTGTTTCGCCATCTGGTGGTGCAGCGAGGGAAGTGTATTACTCCAATTACACAATTCCTAATTCAGCTGTTCCTCTACACTTCTATATACAGGCTTTCCTATTGTAATCGCGCGCATTTAAACACGTGTGAGGAGCGTTTAACAACACACCGGCTGCATTACAGGAGCTACATTGATGTTGCTACGATGTAGGGCCATTACCCAAAACGTCGCATGTTACATATATATATTTCTTATAAGGCCACAGCTTCATTGACGGATTTCGACTTTTTGTTATTATTAATTGTGTTTGGGCACCACTGCCAATGCAGCTGTTTACCGCGGTGGCTAGGAGATGTTAACTACCTCGCCTGGTATACACGAGGTCGCGGGTTCGATGCCGACCCTGATGCCTGCTGTATATTTGTAGTTTGCGTGTTCTACCCAGTCCAAGCGTGGATTTTTTTCCGGGTCCTCCGGTATTTCCCTCCACATTTGGAATCGACATCACGCGCTTCAAGTAGTTTGGCTGCTGTGAATGTCCACGTGATGAGCCACTTCGTTGCGCGAGCATTTGCGGCCAGGTCGTTTTTGAACAAAGATCGATATAGTTCCGTGGGCTTTACCCGGTGAATTAAATAAAAGTTTCGTTTAATTATCTACACGGCAGGGCGGAAAGTTGCTGTCTCTGGTGCTGAATGGTGAACGATGTACTCACTCACGGAGTATCATTTAAGTGGCGTATCGGTGTGTTGATGAATTCCTCGATGAATCTATCTTTTATTACGCGGTAACTAAAGACCGCTACGATTTAAAAAAAGAGGATCGATTCTAAAAACGAATAAAAACCCAAGTAAAAATGCACAACCTTACAATAGCGTGTTTATTGCGACGCGACGCTATTTTAAATGCACCACGACGTATAGAACTTGAATAAACATTTAGCCCTGCTAAATATACTCGCCGTGGTTTAAATCCAACGCAAACATATACTGTACGCTTAAATGTAAGAAGTCACTGCACTTGTGCCATTACATTCACCGGTAACCCGATCTTACTTCACAAAACGCGTGTTTATACACAGACACACCACACGTACACACACAGACACACCGCACGTATACGACTATGCAACCATTCAAGGGTTCTATTTCCATCGGCATAGGGAGGCCTTTGTGCGTACGCTACATTCAGGCGACTGACGTCTATTGACCTATACCGAAGCGTAGACACGGGAGGCAGTGCGATTAGGAACTGCAGACCACGAGGGGGAATATTCCCGTGCTCCGAGGACCGATTGACGATGCTCGTTCCATGGAACCTCATTTGCCAGTAAAAAATATGATAATTGGTTTTTTACCCTTTTATCTGGCAACAAAACTGACACCTTTTTTTACAAGGAGTCATGTTTGCATAGACCAATGCCTGCAGTCATAATGCAAACAAAAACACAACTCTGATAATGTATGCACTGTCCTTGAAGTTGATAGGTCCACCCCCGAGACAGCTTTCCTTAGAGCCTAGTCTTACATGGGTTGGACCAGATGACGCCAAAAGGCGCACAACTCAAAGACAATGCACCATCAGAGTATGAGAGCTCGGGGTAAGCATTTACACCATTGGTACCTCATTTGCCAGTAAAAAATATGATAATTGTTTTTTTACCCTTTTATCTGGCAACAAAACTGACACCTTTTTTTTTACAAGGAGTCATGTTTGCATAGACCACAATACCTGCAGCCATAATGCAAACAACAAACATAACTCTGATAATGTATGCACTGTCCTTGAAGTTGATTGGTCCACACCCGAGACAGCTTTCCTTAGAAAGCTGTGCGCCTTTTGGCGTCATCTGGTCCAACACCATGTGAAACTAGGCTCTAAGGAAAGCTGTCTCGGGTGTGGACCAATCAACTTCAAGGACAGTGCATATATTATCAGAGTTGTGTTTGTTGTTTGCATTATGACTGCAGGTATTGTGGTCTATGCAAACATGACTCCTTGTAAAAAAAGGTGTCAGTTTTGTTGCCAGATAAAAGGGTAAATAACCAATTATGATGCTCGTTACCTCTCTTGGCCCGACGGACGTTGGGGACATTCCACATTACTATGGCAAGACACAGCCCTCTCCAAATTCGGAATGCTTCCCCTTCCCTGTGATTCGATTAACCGTTGTGATCTAAGATTGTGATTTTACTCACAATATCTAATTGTCGTGGTGGTGAATGTAGCGGCCACAAGTGGGGCTTGCAGGGGTTCAAGTTGAACCCATTTCGCACAACACGTACGAATCTAGATACAACAATGATTCTTGCACACGCAATTTGGATATTTGGAGTATGGATATTTGAACATTGAAGCATATCAATATATCTATCCACCGCTCCACGTCTACTTTTTATTTGTATACATTTTGTTGAGACGGGGGGGGGGGGGGGCATGGAAAACGGATTCAACGCAATGCAGAGCCTAGCTAGGTAAGCGCCACGTGACACTCGTTATGATAAGTGCCACGTGACCCTTGCAATGGTAAGAGCCACGTGACCCTAGGCATGGTAAGAGCCACGTGACACTCGTTATGGTAAGTACCACGTGACCCTTGCAATGGTAAGCACCACGTGACACTAGCCACGGTAAGCACCACGTGACCCTAGCTATGGTAAGAGCCACGTGACCCTAGCAATGGTAAGAACCACGTGACCCTAGCTATCGTAAGCGCCACGTGACCCTAGCAATGGTAAGAACCACGTGACCCTAGCTATCGTAAGCGCCACGTGACCCTAGCAATGGTAAGAACCACGTGACCCTAGCTATCGTAAGCGCCACGTGACCCTAGCAATGGTAAGAACCACGTGACACTAGCTATCGTAAGCGCCACGTGACCCTAGCAATGGTAAGAACCACGTGACCCTAGCTATCGTAAGCGCCACGTGACCCTAGCAATGGTAAGAACCACGTGACCCTAGCTATCGTAAGCGCCACGTGACCCTAGCAATGGTAAGAACCACGTGACCCTAGCTATCGTAAGCGCCACGTGACCCTAGCAATGGTAAGAACCACGTGACACTAGCTATCGTAAGCGCCACGTGACACTAGCTATGGTGAGCACCACGTGACCCTAGCTATCGTAAGCGCCACGTGACCCTAGCTATGGTGAGCACCACGTGACCCTCGCTATCGTAAGCGCCACGTGACACTAGCTATCGTAAGCGCCACGTGACCCTAGCTCTCGTAAGCGCCACGTGACACTAGCTATCGTAAGAGCCACGTGACCCTAGCTATGGTAAGCACCACGTGACACTAGCCATGGTAAGCGCCACGTGACCCTAGCTATCGTAAGCGCCACGTGACCCTAGCTATGGTGAGCACCACGTGACACTAGCTATGGTAAGCGCCACGTGACCCTAGCTATGGTAAGAGCCACGTGACCCTAGCTACGGTGAGCACCACGTGACCCTAGCTATGGTGAGCACCACGTGACACTAGCTATCGTAAGCGCCACGTGACCCTAGCTATGGTAAGAGCCACGTGACCCTAGCCATGGTAAGCACCACGTGACCCTAGCTATGGTGAGCACCACGTGACACTAGCTGTCGTAAGCGCCACGTGACCCTAGCTATGGTAAGCGCCACGTGACCCTAGCTATGGTAAGAGCCACGTGACCCTAGCTATGGTGAGCACCACGTGACCCTAGCTATGGTAAGAGCCACGTGACCCTAGCTATGGTAAGAGCCACATGACCCTAGCTATGGTAAGCGCCACGTGACCCTAGCTATGGTAAGAGCCACGTGACCCTAGCTATGGTGAGCACCACGTGACCCTAGCTATGGTAAGCGCCACGTGACCCTAGCTATGGTAAGAGCCACGTGACCCTAGCTATGGTAAGAGCCACGTGACCCTAGCTATGGTAAGCGCCACGTGACCCTAGCTATGGTGAGCACCACGTGACACTAGCTATGGTGAGCACCACGTGATCCTAGCTATGGTAAGAGCCACGTGACCCTAGCTATGGTAAGAGCCACGTGACTCTAGCTGTGGTAAGAACCACGTGACACTAGCTATGGTAAGAGCCACGTGACCCTAGCTATGGTAAGAGCCACGTGACTCTAGCTGTGGTAAGAACCACGTGACACTAGCCATGGTAAGAACCACGTGACACTAGCTATGGTAAGAGCCACGTGACCCGAGCTATGGTAAGAGCCACGTGACCCTAGCTATGGTAAGCGCCACGTGACCCTAGCTATGGTAAGAGCCACGTGACCCTAGCTATGGTGAGCACCACACCACGTGACCCTAGCTATGGGAAGAACCACGTGACCCTAGCTATGGTAAGCGCCACGTGGATTGACGTCTTGACCAAACGGACCAAGGGCATCACTGGTGATTTTTGCTATTCTTGGGCATGGAGATAATCGCAGATTTTCGATAAGAAATGCACGAAAATAAACGATCGTTGGCGAACGAATTTGATATGAATAATACAAATGCCACAATATCCAGGAAAGGCTTACCGAGTCGTAAGACAATTTTTTTGTTTCAGGAGGGTCATGCATGTGCATGGTTGGCCAACTCTATGACCGAGTGCGTGGATTGGAGGTGGAGGAAACCTGAGCACGCGGAGAAAACCCCGTGCGTCCGAGGGGAAAACGACTTCAGCCCCGAGCGGGATTCAATAACCAACTGGCTGTGATCGCCACCTCTTGACTACCTCGCAGCACAACGGGGGGCTTCGTAGCTTCTTTACAAATCTGCTTCATCTGCCAGCCAAGCACCCGATCATTGCCGCAGCCCCAACAGTATGGAACGATATCCCTCTGCACATTCGCAGCATCACCTCAATCGCCTCCTTCAAGAGACACTTAAAAACTCACCTCTACAACCACGTGCTTTTGAGCGACTCTGAGCTTGGCTCCGCGCCTCTGAGTTGCGGCCACTATGTCTGCAAATTTGCGCGCGTTACAAATTGAACTATTATTATTATTATTAGCAGCGCTGGTTCACAGGGCGTGTGTGGCCGAACCTCTCTCAAACGACGACGGCGGCTTCACTGGTCAACAAAAAAAAACGTTTTCATCTGCCCTGGACTTTTGCAGCTGTTTTAGACTTATTTCAGGGTGCTGATTCCAAATCTGATCTCAGATTTGCTCAATCACATCTCATTTTTAAGGCTATCGGCATACCCCATTTTCATTTATTTTACCAGAAATTAACTCTGTCACTTATGGTGGAAAGTTGTTGCGAGTCAGTGACTGCTTTAGTGTTAAACTATGGTGCTGTATTTTTAGGATAGTGTGTTTATAATATCACATTTATTTAATATTTTTCTTCTGCAGTTTTTATTGAAAATGCAATATTTGATATCTCAAAAACCTGATTTGATAGACAAAAACTGATGCCAGATTTGGAATCGGCACCCCAAAATTACCTTACAACCGTTGGAATACCTGATGCCAGAAAAATTGTGTTGACCAGTGTAATCAGCGAGACATCGCAGGCCCTGTCCTATAGACGGGGCGAATGTTTTTTCTGTTTTTCCAAAGTCTGCAATTCTAAGTAAAATGACATTTGCACGAGTGTCGTGAAGCCTCCTAAAGCTACGTGTGTTAGCAGCAAGGGGGTTAAAGACGCTTCCAAAAACACCGTCAGGCTAGCATCGTTCCGCTATTGTTTTTCTTTCACAGAGATCAAAACCATTGGTCGTACATTGGCGATCATCAGCTCTGCAGGCTGTTTCGCCGGAGTTTTGAGTACCCGAAGCAAACCCCGGGCACGCAACAGGAGAACGCCCAAAGCTCCGCGCAGGATGACGTGACTGACGCACTAACTCGGAGAAGCGCAAACATGAAGTTGGGAAATTGCTGTCCGGGGCAGAGCGGTGGTGCCACGCTTAGCGCGCCGCCGCCCTATGGGGCCGTCCATAAATGACGTCACGCGATTTTTGACGATTTTTGACCCCCCCCCCGTCGTCACACAGCGTCACAAAAAGTCAGAACCCCCCCTCAAATATGACGTCACAAAGCTCTGCCCCCCCCCCCCCCACAAAAAATATAAAACATGCTTTAAATCGCTTTAAACTATTGTCATTGTAGTGCGTATTTAATGTGGCGCTGCACTCTGATGTTGTAGGAGAAAACATTTATTAAAAAGTCTATTTTATTAAATAGAACGTGTTGTCTATATGTATTTAAAGTTGCGCATTTTGATGTGACGTCACATTTCTCAACCCCCCCCGCCCCCAACTGTCACACATCGTCACAAATGTCTGACACCCCCCCCACCCCCCTAGGTGCGTGACGTCCCTCGTGCTTGATTCAAGGACGGGACTAACATCGGCGGCGAGTTGGCGAATCTGCATCGATCGTGGGAACTTCCCTAGGTCGACTTAGCCTGAAATGAATAAGCTGGCGTTGTGTGTACACAACAGCACTGGACAGACAACGGCGTCCTCGCTCCGCTCCGCTCAGCCTGAAGTGTGCTCCAACAACCCACCCCCACCCCCACTACCGACAGAGCTTCATCCAGCAGTGGATAGACAAAGGCCCGTATATTATTATTATTATTATAATATTCGTTTTCACAGAATGCATGTTTTTATTTAATTTAATACAGATCTGATTTTAAGGGTGCAAAGAATGTGTTCGTAGATGGTACATTGTCCTACCAAGTATGTCGCTGCAACCTCGCCACGCATCCCACCCATCCTCCCACGGGTCGCGGCCATCATCCAGCAGTGGATTGCCACATGGGCCGTAAAAAACAAAATAATCGTAAAACAAAAAACTTGCCAGGCAGGCAAGACGACCGCCATGGCTGTGGGTCGTGTGATTGCAGGATGTTAACTACCTCGCCCGGTATGCAAGAGGTCGTGGGCTCGATCCAGACTCCTGACTCCTGCTGCTGTATATTTGGAGTTTGCGTGTCTCTTTTTCTCTCTCATCATCATCACGGTGGCTCGGAGATGTTAACTACCTCGCCTGGTATGCAGGAGATCGTGGGTTTGACCCCGACCCTGACGCCTGCTGCATATTTGGAGTTTGCGCGTCTCCATCGCAGTGGTCGCGTGGATTTCTTAACCGAGTCCTCCGGTTTTCCCCTCCACATTTAGAAACACGTGTTTAGAGTATCTGGCTGCTATCAATATCCAACGTGATGAGCCACTTCGTTGGGGCTATCATTTGTGATCAGGTCACTTCCGATACAGCTCAGTGGGGACCTTACTTGATCACATAAAAAATCCAACATAATTCTCACGACGTTTCGGCCACAACGCAAGCAGCCGTTCTCACCTGAGGACGGCTGCTTGCGTTGTGGCCGAAACGTCGTAATAATTATTTTATTATGTTTTATTTTTATTATTTCATTATTTCCCTTCTACGTGACTTTACCGAAAGAACCAAGAAGACGAATCCCTGCAGTCACGAAAGCTTTCAATCGAAATTTAAACCCAACATAGTTTGTTACCTTAATGGTTTGCTCACCCGTCACCCGTCACCCACCCGCCCTCTCCTCACCTTGGACATGGGGAAGCGACACACGCCCGCGCAGTAGTGCGCGTCGAACGCCTTGGGCGAGATAATCCATTCGCTCCACCCGATGTCCGCGAAGTCCACGCGGAGGGCGCGCCGGGCGCACGTGTGCGGCTCCTTCATCTGCCTCCGCCGCGCCTGCCGGAGCGTCTGCTCGTCAAAGCTCAGCATTCGGGACGCCGCCTGCTGCTGCTGATTATGCTGCTGCTGATGATGCTGCTGAGCTCTCGCTCCTCCGCGCCCCTTGCCCACCACCACAGCCGCCTTCCTGAACGTGGCCTTGCCCCTGCGCCTCTCCCCCTCGCGTCTCCTCGACGCCGCAGCCTTGCGTCGGGACGACGTCTTCGTCACGGTCGAGCCGATGCCGCCCTCGGAGCCCTCCGCGGCCGTGCCGCGTGGCCGCTCGCTCCACGACGCCGCCTCGCTCGCGTTGTTGTCCTCCTCCCCCGCGAGGCCCGGGCTGACGACCACGTCGCGGTGGTGGTCATCGTCGTCGGGAAGCTCGTTGTCGAGTAGGGACGGGGGCAGCGCGGCTCTGCGCTGCCGGCGTCCCTGCGCGGCGGCCGTGGCGTTGTGCGCTCGGTTCGCGGCCGGGTCGCGCTCCTCGTGCAACGGGAAGCGCCCGTAGCGCTGGAGCGTCGTCACCACGCTGTTGGGCTCCAGGATCTCGGAGTCGTTTGCGTAGACGAGCAGGTAGGGCGAGTTCTCCCACGGGAGGCCGTTGCCACCGCCGCCGCCGCTGCTGCTGTTTTTGTTGTTGATGTTGTTGTTGTTGATGTTGTTGATGTTGAAGAGCACGTTGTGCATGTCTCGGCGGCGAGCGAGGCGCGCCTCCCCGTACAGGAGCGCGTCTCCACGCGTCCTCGCGTTCTTCACCAGGGAGGTCACGTCCCGTACCTGCCAGCCCTTGGAGCCCGCGTGGGAGGAGGACCACGAGGAGGAGGACGAGGAAGATGACGAGGAGGAGGAGGATGACGAAGTGGTGGGGGATGAGGAGAAGCCACGAGGAAGGCCGGGACTTGAAGAAGAACCCCAGAGGGCGAACTGAAGGAGATCGGCGGACCTTGGACCCAGGCAGGGCGAGCGGCGATTGTGGGCGCACCAGGAACCTCGGCCTGGGCTCAGCTCGTCAGCGGTGAAGTGGAACGACGCGGCCAAGATCTTCTCCGAGTTGGGGATGGACGTGAGGTTGAACGTGAAGATCATGCCCTTGTCTCGAAACTCTACGGATCGATGGTGGAATCAAAAATAGGGCAGGGTCATCGAACCGTGTCGAGCAGTCAAATATAAAACATTTTTGGGGGAGGAGGTGGAATCAATTGATAACTGATTAACGATTTTCAGCGGAGTTGTTAATCCACTGATGCAGGTATGTTTGTGGGACTTCTTTCGCACCGTGCGTAACCAATGGTGCTTATCGGAGGTGCCGGGGAAATTGACGACAAACTGAACACAACAAGCAATCCTGAAACACAAAAGCAAGCTGACAGAATCGAGTGACATTGAAGAAGCCGACGACTTCACTGCGGTTTCCATTGGGTAGGAGGCAATCTCAAGAAATCCGCATACATCGAGTGACTTTCTAGTTTCTCGAAAACGGAATTAATTATCTTTAACGGCCTCTGCTGGCATCACGTGACGTGATCGATACCTGACAGTAGCATTCCCAAAACTAGAGCCTCCTGTTCTTGGATGTAATCTGTCTCGTGTAGCGAATTTCGACTTAAAAACCCATCAACGGCCGTCTTCAATTCATTCATTCTACAACATATTCCAGACGTGTTCCACTATAACAGCCCGATCCATGTTCCAAACAACTTTTATTTTGGTTAAATAGCACTTATTCGAGTAAACAAAGCGCCACGATTAATTGTAAAGCTCGCGTCAAATACACGCGGAGTGCACCTTGAAGGGAACGAACGGCAGAGGGCGTTCTCTAAAACTCAGCGAAGACATCAGAATACTCGGAATTTTTTGGAGAAATGTTGTTTAAACCCACAGGCGGGCACTCGGGTTCGCAAAGGGGAAACCCCCCTTTGAAGAAAACTTCTTTAAATAACAAAGGCTTTTGGCTGCAAAATAATGGTTGGCTTTTTTGTTGTTGTTGTTGTCTTCAGCAATATTCACTTAAGGCCGTTAAGTTATTTTTCGTTCGCGTAAAATTGAAATATAAGCGAGAATATAAACATTGTCCGTTTGTGTTTATTTTAATGGTTATTAAGGCGCTCGCCACTCCAACCGTGAATATAAATACAGCTCAACCCCAAGTGCTTAATTTCCCTTGAAGGTAATGCGCAACTCTTGAGAGTCAAGTCAGGACTTAGCAGCGCCTCTTTGGATGTTTACATTTTAAATAGGTTTATAAATCACGCTAGTACCAATTACAATAACAGCAAATCGACGTCAGAGTTTATATATATATGTAAAAACTAAAATTTAAATTTTCATTGTTTTAATCAGTAGGCATTGTAATGAAAGTAATATTAATTTAAATCTGAGATTAGAGTAATCCTATTTGAACTATACAAATATTGTAATAATCGCACCTTCGATTAGCGCGGGTGGCTACGTACGGTGCGAAAGAAGTTCAACACACATACAATGATATTCCACAACAGATAACTTACAGCAAAGACAAATGACACATACCACACAAAACATAATATCATAACCAAGACACGTAACTTGTGTGAGACATACAACAACACGTATGTACATACACTGCTCCACACTCCCCTCCCCCTTTGTCTATCCACTGCTGGATGAGGGCCTCTCACCACAGACCGTGTCGGTTATGGGGGGGGCGCGGAGTGGGGGGGGGGTGATTTGACCATACTTATCCACCACGCTGGTCAGGACGGAGGAGCCGATTACAAAGCACGCATTTTTGACGATTCGGTGTGGAGCCGGTCACATCACTCACAGCGCCTATTTGTTCATTTAAGCAAAGCAAGTCGCTGTTGTCACGCATCGATCATTAAAGGCGTTCACTGTAAAGTACTCTCCATGTGTACGTGCATCGACACATCTGATTGAAGGACGGCACAGCAATGCGGCGAGCACCCACAAATGCCACCACTCGCTAACCGCACGTGGCACGCGTCAATTATTTGCACAGTCAAAACCCTCACAAGGAGTCCTCGGGCTTTAGTCTCTTTCCAGGAGGTCCCTGCTGCTACACCGAGACGCCAGGAATATTTCATAATTGAGTACGTGGCTCCGTGTATGTATGTTGCACTTCTTTCGCACCGTACGTGCGTGAGGTGGGGGGGGAGAGTGGGAAGGACAAGAAGCGTAAACGCAGCAGAAGGAAGCCAGAAAATCCGGAGAAAACCCCCCTCACCAACACACGAGGAGGTGGCAATCCGCGCTCCCATCTGACGGTCACCTCTCGCAGCCGCACGCCTCCTACAACACGCGGCAAAGCCCAGGCGGGCCGCACAACCGAACCACGAGCCCAACTTTGAATTCAGACCACTGCAACGTAAGGAGAGGTGGGGTTCAATAAAATGACGTGTTCGACCAAGCACCTCGATTGCTTGCGATCTGTAGCGTCTGATTGTCAGTTGTCGGGGCGGGTGGTGCTGATGGTGGTGATGGTGGTGATGGTGGTGGTGGGGGTTCAGTCAACGATTAAAGTTTTATATTTTTTGTACCACGACTGTACCGGAAATCTGCAGTTTAAAAAAAAAATCTCAACACCTGCTTAGCCTCAGATATCCAACAGTATGGGTAGCAATCCGGCTGATCTGGCTGTGTGATGGGTGACACGTGGCCCTTGATTGATAGACAGACGTTCTGTTACCAGTCGAGAACACCCAATCGTAAGGGTGGCATGGGTCGAACCCAGTGACAACGCGATGCGTCACAAGCAAGCCGAACGCACGAAGCTGAGACCAAGATGCGCCAGAACATGAAGGCGATTTAAAGCTTTCGTGACTGCAGGGATTCATCTTCTTGGTTCTTTCGGTAAAGTCACGTGACTTTACCGAAAGATCCAAGAAGAACATGAAGGCGATTGCACAGAACGCAGTAGCTACGGGACGGGAGGGGTACGGTACGCCTTCTGATTCTCCGTTAAATTCCCCGTCGTGCGCCAGGGCACATGCCGAGCACAAACCCGCAAGGAGTTCAGCAATTGTGAATCACGCGCACCTGGGCTATGTTCAAGTCCAACTGTTCCGCTTAACAGACGGTACCGCTGGAGCTGCCACGGCGCTAATCATCGTAGGACGCGTACGCGGTAGGCACACACGCGCTGGCTACTGCCCCTCGATTTCAATAATTGTTTTAATCAAATTAGGCAATCAGTGTAGAAACAATTACCCGTGCGCGCGCACGCACTCACACGCACTCGCGCTCGAGGAGCTGTCGCGTGCGATTAATTAGACAGGCGCCGGTGTGGTCGTACCGACTGCGGGTTTGAAGCTGCGGATGGTGTTCTGCTCGAGGAAGCGGCTCCCTCCCTTCATGTACTTGTCGTAGAGCTTGAACATGTGCGCCGAGGCCATGTCGTGGCCCAAGGGGTGATGAGAGGTCCTGTCCGCAGCGGTGCTCCTGGGATCGCCTGCGCGCGCTCCTCCGGCGCACAGCAACAGCAGCAGCGACAGCATCGCCGACGTCGCCACGAAGGCGAGCGCGGGTTTTCTCGTCGTCGGTCGCGGCATCGTCGGCTCCCCTCCCCGCTCGCGCTCTCGAGGAGGCAACGACAAAGTTGCGGCAATAAAGAATAAAAGGTCTGGAGAGAGATCCTTGGAGTCAAAAAAAAAAAAACACCCACCACCAACAACAAAAATAATCTCCCTTGAGGATGTTATGTAATTAATAATATCGATAATGTTGTCTCTGCAGGAGACCCTACAAGCGAAACGTGGCTGGTCTGGCCAATTTGTGCGCGTGGATTTTTTCCCCCCTCTCTTCTCGCTTTAAATAAAAAAAAAAACCCGCGACAGTTTCAAATAGTCGGGTTTGTCTGATTGATATCGGAATCGGCTTCCCGTCGGATCTACGTCTTCCCCTCTGTGTGCGCGTGTCTCTCTCCCCCTCGTCCCTCCGAGCTCAACCGCCTTCCTTGCCCGAGTCGCGAGTCGAGAAGCACCGCGTGCGTGAGAGCCGCTGGGTGCGACTGAGACGCAATCGGTTTTTTATTTTGCGTAAAACTCCCCGGGTATTGCGAGCCGAGTGCGCGCGTCTGAGTGACTGTGTGAGTGAGTGTGTGTGAGAGAGAGAGAGAGGAGTGTTAGGTGGGGGGGAGGTCGAGTTGGTTGGTGTGGAACAGAGGGAGGGGTGGGGGCAAGCTTGTTGGCCCCGGAGGGATGGATGGATGGAAGGGAGGGGCTGGAGCAGAGCGGTGAGTTCGTGTAAGTTTGGCAGTGGAGAGGAGGCGAGTGTGGTGCAGACAACGCAGTGACATACATTGCCCTGTGTATGACGCCTGATAATATCATCTTCGTGTGTGTGTGTGTACAGCAAGACGACTCTTTGAATATTTTGAACTAAACTGCGTGTTGAAGCGCGCGTATGCGCTGCGTGACAATTTTTTGGTAACGGGAAAATGCGCGAGTTCTTCTGGAGTTGCTTAGCCCCTGAATTCTTAGAGGGGGGGGGGCATCATGGTCACCATAGATCTTCACGGGAAGCCGAACGGCCGTCTCGAACCTCGATATCAAGAACAAGAACATACACTATCACACGTGGTCTCTCTCTCCCTCTCCTACATTGCCTGCATGCGTAACATCGTATGTCAATCCACGTCTGGATTAGGATCTTTCCCCCCTCACGCCGCGCTTTCTGCGGCCGTCTGGAACGTTCTTCCTTCCGATATTAGGAAGCCCACTGGAGGTGTGCGCTTTCACACCGTCTACATTGACGAACTCATTTCGTTAGAACTGCTTTTGTGTGTTTAGTCTGTCCTTCCACCGCACCTCTGGTTAACACGGTTGGCAACGTACGGTGCGAAAGAAGTTCAACGTACGTTCATAACTCGGGTCACCGATTTCGTTTGTGCATTGTGCAAACCCACAGCGCCACCGCCCAACTCCGCCGCTCTTATTATTACTTCGAGTTGTTATCTGCTACCGACATCGACTCAAGCATTCCACGTGACCTCGCTCTTATGCAATAAGCGGCTCTCTTAGTGGGGGAAGTTTGCAAAAAATGAATTGGATGTGAAGTTGGGTTCAATTTAAATTACGATCGGCAGTTTAAAATGAGCGTGTTGTTTCCAGGACCCATTTCATACGAAGCGAAGCAAAATAATAATTAGTTTAGACGGTATCACGCTAAGTGTGAAGGTAGGGGGAGAAAGGAACGTTACTAGAAAAAATAATTAATTCTGCCGACATTACAATTGGCTTAGTACGACTTACGTTTCCTGAGAAATATCGGGTTAAGAATCCATTTAACTCTGTCGTGACGTGGCTATAATAGGGTAAAGCATGTTTAATAACATAATGTATTGGACCAACTTGAAAACGCGTATGTATTCCACGTAAAAAAATTACAAAGATCCCCCGTATATCCTCGGCAAAATTCTGGGGCAAGTACTGTTAGCGAGGCACCTATTCAGGTCAGCACGGCACACGAGGGGGGGAGGGGGGTGGTGTGGCAAGTGCCACGCCCGGCCGTCTTTGTCTCCCTAGTGGCGATGTTTACACACCGCACGGGGAGTCGACAGCACGAGTGGCTGTAGGGAGGAATGTTACTACCCTGAGTGAATTCACCAATTGATGAAGACCTCCCCTTGCCGTGCCTGCCATGGGAGTGCTTTAACCACTCTTCACCACGCTGGTCTGCGCAGGTTGGTGAATGCAGCCCCCCCCCCCCCACAACGACCGATTCTGATATCTCTCGCCACTATTGTTGGCCATCTGGCGCGGTCAGCTGCAGAGCAAAGCGCGTCAACTGCTGCGCCACCGCTCCTCCGACAGTAAAGGTGTGACGTGTAGGGTTACTCCTCTTGCAAAATAAATGTACCATTTTTTTTGAAAGGCTATTAAAATCACATTTCCTAATCGCTTTAAAAGCCTGCGTCGCCTTGCAATTACTGCCGAGCAAATACGTTTTTAAATGGGGGGGGGCGACAGGGACAGCCCTGCAATGTGTGGGTGTGTCGGTTATTTCTTGATTCTAACGACGCTCCAGAAAGCAAGACGGTGCCACCAACAGTTCGCGTCGCGTGTCAACAAAGTGACGCAAATCTGGTCTCGCACACAACATGCCTAATCTGGTTATAAAAACGCACGCACCATTCACTTAAATTTTTTTTTATAAAGAAATTAGTGGGAGGGGAAAAGTGCGCCTTATAATCCGGTGAATACGGTCATTGTTAATGTTGCAATTACGCGCTGCAGCTGCAGTGATGCGTTCAAACGTGATTACCTGGATCGCGCATTGTTCAATAGGATTAGGCAACCGCGAGCCAAACCCCTGTAATTGAAACCAGGCATCGGGGCTACTCGTACGCGCTGGTGTGTGGTGGTTGGTGATAGGCTAACTGGGGGGGGGGGGGGTCCTGAGCAGGCATGTGGAGCGAAAACGTCGGACATCGTGGCGAAACAACACGCGGAACGGCCAGCCCCGAATACACGCGCTGTGAGAGCCCGCATGCTCGTGTGGAGCGTCGTCCCCTCGAACGCGTGGTGTGAGGTTTTGTTGTTGTTGTTGTTGTTTTGCTGGTGCTACGGCTCTCCAACCACATTTATCGGGCAGCACAGGAGCTGCTCAGTAAAAATCCACGTCGGCCCTCTGCCCCACTTCCTACATGCTACGGCCAGCTGAGTTTGATTCCCGACTCCGGCTAATAAACAGTGGCGAAGGATCAAGACAGCTGTCCTGCCCTCCCCTCCCCCTTCCTACTGACCAGCACGGGGAAGCATGGCCAAAACAGAACCCGCAGAAGAATCAAAATATCGATTCATGCTGGAGGAATCCGATGAACTATGAAGCTCTTTACCCCCCCCCCCCCCACCACCCCAGAGATGTCCAGTAGGGGCACGGCCAGAATGTCACAACAACAATAACAGCAACTTGGAGAGAGATCCTCAAGCGCGGCGGTGGATTGACAACGCAAACCGGGCGTACCGTGTCTCTCTGTCTGTCTGTCTCTGACCTACAACACCTACACCTGGATACATTTATTTTAAACGTGGCTTTTAAAAAATCGCATCTGGCTGCTGCAAAAGGAGCACTCGCCCCGACTCATGACTTCAGTTTTTATATGGGGCGGTTTTTTTTTTAGGACCACACCTTTTGGCAGCAAGTGTCACAGAGGCTCGCTGGGTGGAGTGACTCGCATTGTGTGACAACGACGCTGATGATGATGATGAAAGCCGCTTATTATCCCCATGACGTTATGGGCGCGTGGACCGTGTGTGCGCTACAGGTTTTCCGTATGGAGTGCCGTTTAAAATAATCATAACAACAATGAAGCCACTGTGTGTTGAACTGCTTTCTCGCACCGTACGTAGCCGACCGTGCGAATCGGAGGTGCGTGGGGTAAGGACAACAAACTCAACGTTTGCCACCGCGTGCCAGATGCGGTGTGGTTTCTTTGTTTGTTTTGTTTTTGTAATAATCTTGAGACTTTTTCTTGTTTTCTGTGCCAAGAAAGCACAACCCGAGAGAGGCGCTTCGTCTCGTTTTACGGAGCGCCACGCCGAGGGTCACGTTTGTCCCCTTTTGCGGACGGATAATGTTCGTGGCTTTTGCGTCGAAGGTGCGAAAACAAATTAATAACATCGTAAATAATGAATGCGGTGATTTTGATGGAGGGGGTGGTTGGGTGGCTTGGCCGTACGCGTCACTCGGAACAATCTACATTGCGCACTTGCGAAGATGTTCACTTCCGAGCCCTCCTCGGTGAATGCAGTACAGGTACTCCTCTACTTACGAACGAGTTAGGTTCGTGAGTCGATTGGTTCGTAAATCCAATTTTACTCCTGTCGATTCCAAACATGTTGTACGGTATGCACACTAAACACGGGGAATGGCTTTGACAGTTGTGTAATCTCCTGTAGATGTAGACGCCATTGGGTCTTCACGTTCTGCAGATGTAGATGCCATTGGTTCTTAAAGTAATGTAGATTCCACTGGTTCTTCACATTCTGCAGATGTAGATGCCATTGGTTCTTAAAGTAATGTAGATGTAGATGCCACTGGTTCTTCACGTTCTGCAGATGTAGATGCCACTGGTTCTTAAAGTAATGTAGATGTAGATGCCACTGGTTCTTCACGTTCTGCAGATGTAGATGCCACCTGGTTCTTCGCGTTCTGCAGATGTAAATGACACTGGTTCTTCACGTTCTGCAGATGTAGATGTCACTCGTTCTTCACGTTCTGTAGATGTAGATGCCACCACCACCACCATCTATTTCGCGGCGGTTGAACTTACTACTCACGATCTGAACCGACAATTTGTCGGTTCAGATCGAGTGTTCGTAAGTAGATGAGTCCCTGTAAACACACGCAGACACGAGCCGTCAGTCCGTTTTTGCACAATTGCGTTGTTTAGCAGCAGGTCGTATGAAAGATAATGATGCGCCGTTAAAATTTCACCCGCATTAATTCTCCTTGCACTCAAAAGAAAACGTCGTGAATACGTTCGAAAATGTATGAGCTTGTTTTGTCCTTGAATAGAACCTATATGTACACGTACAGCCCTTGTTATTAATCCACTGCTGGATGAGGGCTGCCCCCCCCCCCCCCCCGCTCTGTGCAGGTCAGAAGGGGGTTGTTTGTCCAGACTCGATTCTCGCTCACGGCAACAGCAGTGACGATTATCTGAACCGGTCCTGGGCCTCCCCTAGGTCGACTCGGTCTCACGAGTACCTGGTGCGGTGTGTAAACATCGCCACTAGGGAGACAAAGGCGGCCGGGCGTGGTGCTGGCCACCCACCCCGTCGTGTGCCGTGCCAGCCGTCATAGGTGCTCGCTAACAGCTCTTGCTCCAAGAGTCTTAAGGCTATACGGGGGATCTTTGTCCTTGTCTTTGACCACACTTCCCCATGATGTGTTGCTGAAGGCGGGGGGAGAGCATAGACGTTTTGAAGCGTTGTACAGCACAACAACGGATGCTGTTTGGGTTTCCCTCTGCTGACAACGTGGTCCTGACGCAACCTACAGCAACTTGGACACCTTGGCTTATGCTTGGAAGGAGTGATCCAGGCTCACCCCCTGCTTGACTTCTGAGATATGATGATGTGTGTGCGTG